TTTGAATTAGAGCCTGCCATTGGGTAGGGTTTGATTCATTGAGATGGGGATTGGTGGCATTTTAGAAAGAGGAAACAGCTTGAGTGAAAAAAGGAGGTGGGGAATGTTACAGAGAATATGGGGGAAAGCAAAGCGTTTGGCTGACAGCTAAGGGAAGCAGGGGAGAAAGCATTTGAAGGGGCAAGACTTCAATGAAGCGGGTCTTTATTGAACCAGTACTACTTACAATAGGTAAGTGGCCTAAAGTGTGATTCCAGCTGGAATCAAGACCCAAAGAAGGCTGCTGGACTATAAGAGCCTCTCCTTCTACGCAGAAAAAGAAAGCAAGTGGTCGGGTCCCCTCAGGGCAAACCCCCTTCCAAGACTAAGACTCAATTGGTGACCACGTTCTGATTGGTGACCACATTCGTCACCGACAATGGGAAGTGAGGAAAAAACAGCAATGCAGCTGCGAGCTAAGCCCTACAACATTCAATAGACTCCTGTGAACCCAGGTGGAGACCTGGTTGACCAGCAGTGTGGCAAGATCTGGGGACTCCTGGGCCCAGAGTCAGCGACATAGCCACAGAGGACTAGAGTGGAGAGTGAAGCGTCCAGCTGATAAGAAGAGAGGGCATATGCACTAGAACACCCACACTTGCAGATAATACCCACTTGACCTGGCTTCAAAGTTTGGATGATCAGAGCTCAACTAGAAGAAGAAAAGGGGGAAAAAAAGAGTAGTCTGATACGATTTGATGAACTTGACCTACACCTATGGATGCAGTAGCTCAAAAGAGGCACAGCGAGGATCATTCCCACCTCCTCCATACAGAGTAGACAGGGAATTATTATAGTCAATAATTCCTATTGTTGGTAAGTGCCATCGAGTCAGTTCTGACACATAGCGACCCTGTATAGGGTTACCTATGAGCAGTTAGTGGATTTGAACCACTGACCTTGTAGTTACCAGTCAAGTGCCTATCTTAAGCCTTTGGAAGGAGCAGTGAGTGCATAAATTGTAAAGTCACGACCACGTGGGGGCGCTATAGGCTTCATGACTAAAACCAAAGTGTGTCCCAGTAGCTCCCTCTTCTGGCATATATAAGTATTGTACACTAAAATGGTTATTGGCATTAACTTGCCAATCTTTGAATAATACACCTATTCTGCTCCTGCAAAGATTTAAAGCTTCGGAAAACCTATACAGGGTCGCTATGAATCGGAACTGACTCCACGGCACTTAACAAGTTTAAGGACTAACCGCAAGGTCGGCAGTTCAAACTCACTAGTTGCTCCATGGGAGAAAGATGAGACTTTCTTCTGTATTTACAGTTTCGGAAACCCCTTACAGGGTCGCTGAGTCGGCATCGACTTGATGGCAGTGGAGTATAAGCTTCATATTTATAACTTGAATATTTGGTTCTGCTTTCAGAAAGAAAAGAAAAACTTCAAAGGTACACTGCTTTAAATGAAAACAACCCACTTTGCTTCTGAGTTATTCAGCTCACGTGGAGTCCCGTTGTGGCGCTGTAGGGTAATGTGCTGGACCACAAGGTCAGTTTGAACGTAAGGTCGGCGTTTCAAATTCACCAGCTGCTCCTTGGAAACCCTACACAGGGTTACGATGAGTCGGAACCAACTCGACGGCATTTACACAGCTATATCTAAGCGTATCCATAATACTCAAGTGTGAAACCAAATTTGGGGTGGTTATTTGTTGCGTAGTGGTTACGAAAGATTTACAGCCTCGGAAACCCTGTACAGGGTCGCTATGAGTCGGAACCGACTCCACAGCACATAACATTTGCTGGAGGATCTTCTAATCATTGTCTAGGAATTGTGTTGCCCTGATGGTGTTCTGTATTCTTGAGAAAGTGACACAAAAGATCATCTCCTTTTATACAAAAATGAAAGAATGTTAGAACTCTTGTCAAAACTGTATTGTTTAAAAAAAAAAACTCTATTGTTACGTGCCAACTCATAACGACCTCGTTCGTATAGGGTTTCCAAGGAGTGACTGGTGGGTTTGAACTGCCAGCCTTGTGGTTAGCAGCCGAGTGCCAATCCTACAGTGCCAACAAGATGCAAAATGAAGAAAACAAGGAACAGACTGTACAGCCCACTATTCCACCTTTTGTGTGAGGAGGTAGTTAGTGCCATTGAGCTGGTTCCGACTCATAGTGAACCTATATAAGGTTTCCAAGGAACATTTAATGAGTTTGAACCGCTAACTTTGAGGTTAGCTGTCCAGTGTTTACCCTACAACACATCGAGACTGTAATATATATATTCACAGTTGCTTGCATAGGCATAGAAAAACTACAAGAAAACACTGGCGAGGTAAATTATGTGGGTGACTGACAAAGATGGAATACTTTTCAATGTGTTTTAGACTCAATGTTTGAAATACAAAAAGTTTAACCTCTTAAAAAAAATGAGAAACATATAATGGAACAATAACCAATAGAGCAACCATTAATTATAAAAATATCTTTTAAGAGTGATTGATTTTAATTATCCACCAAATCTTGTATTTCTATCCTTTAAAAATCTTTATGTAAAGCATGCTGTAAGTAGCATTTTAGGTATTGTCCACAAGTTCTCTTCCCCAAATCCTTTCACAAGTTTAAAATTCAGTATTAAAAATATAGTGTTCCTTTAACTCAGCAGCTACAATGTCAGTACCTTACCCTGGGGTCCCTAGAGAAAGACATGCTTGGTAAAGTGGAGGGGCAATGTAAAAAAGACACCCAACAAGATAGACTGACAAAATGACACAGCAAAAGGCTCAAGATTACTGTGAGGGGGACAAAGGACTGGGCAGTGTTTTATCCAGATGTGCACAGGGTCACTATGAATTGAAACAGACTTATTAACAACCACCCTAGGAATATGGAAATAGAAGCGTTAGCAAAAAAAAAAAAAAAAAAACCCACAAATGTTTGGTAGGCAGGTAAATTGCAGCATACATACAATGGAATACTAGCAGGAAATGTTCAAAATAAGATGTACTGGCCTGGGGTGATGTTCATAAATACCTAGTCAAAAACAAGGCATGCTCAAAGTGGGTAGAGGTCAATACTGTTACTGGTACAGGACGCAGGGATTGCAATCATTGTAATGAAATGAAGTCTATGATTTGTTGAATGCAAAACTGATGTGCTCTATAAACCTTCACTCAACTCACAATATAGTTTAAAAACAAAGCATGCTGAAGCATACTGAAAATGGTCTTATTTTTGTTTGCATATATTCCATTCCACAGGGCAAAAGCCCAAAACAATACTCATCTGTTAAAGTACCTTATCTCTGGGAAGAAAAAATGTGCAACTGGTTAGGTACTCCAGTGAATTACTATTACTTCAAACTTTATAAACTGGTGTATCTAATAAAAACAAAAATATATTCATTCACTTTTTCTTAGCTTCCATGAAACTGTATCATTGATTCTATTAATGTGCTTGTTTCTATCATTGTTTCCCAAAACCTGTCAAGCACCAATTTAACAGAACTTTAGTTGGAAACAAAAGTAAGTTTGTTTTCCAATAAGCATCCCTACCCTCAACCAATGCAATACCCACTGGGCATACAGCTCTCTGCAGTGCCATGGAGCTCCATTAAAAAAATGCACCTAACAGTAAACTAGAAATGATGCATTACGAGAGCTTTTATTCAATTTCTAGATCTAATTCCGAAAGCTGTTTAAAAAAACATATCTAAATATTTACAATGCTTTTGTTCTTCAACTCTGACATTTACATATTTACCACAAACTTTTCAGGTGCAGCGCTGCAGGTTAATGCACTGAGGCAGCAAGGTCAGTTTTAACTCCAACTTCAGCAATTCAAGCTCACCAGATGCTCTTCAAAAACCCTATACAGCAGGGTCATTCAGTCAGAACCAACTCAGTGACACAACATATGACAGACATTACATATTCCTGGGAGGTTGTTGTTTCTTGGTATGTCTGAATCTGCTAGCTGTGCAAACTCAGTAAGCTATCTCTAATACGTGCATTTTCATAAAACTGCATTGATGACTAAACAAAGTAATCAAGGCATTCTCATGCAGTGCTTATTTTCCTTAGTAACCTGTAAAGCACGGATGATTTTTAACAGTCTACCATTGGCAGGAAGGTCACAAAATTCCTCTAAGGCAGAGGTTATAGAAGTGGTTTGTGCTCTTTGATGGAAACTATTCCTTCTAGTCTTCTAATGAACCTATATAATTTCTGGAGTGCCTATTGCCAGGTGTTCCTTCCTTCCATCCCTCCAAGTGTTGGAGTTTCTGTCAACTTTGGTTTCCAGGTATGATACAGAAAGAAGTTCCTTACCAGATCAATTATTTGGTAGGACAAACACCCTAAATATATAATCAGGCAACTTCAGGTCAAAGACCCATTGCTTCACTCACCAATTTGTTGTATTGACTAGTTATTATTTAAAAGCTAAAGCTTTTAATTCTCTATTGTACAATTTCTATTTCAGTCCAGCATACCAAATCATGGCTTTGTAAACAGCTCAGTTTAAGTTTTTGTAGAACTATGTATTAATTTGTTACCTATCTCCCTCCCACCCCCACTCCCAAGCCCTGTAAGTATCTTTTGGATTAGTGTTCCATTAACTTCCCCACCTAACTCCATTCCTCAGGTACCTCAGAATCATCACCCCAACAAGTAAATCCAATTATTTCAACCCATCCACTTCATTTCTATATTGTGGCCATGTTTCAAATACCAATGTTATCTTACCTCATGATTGGTTACCTTAGTGAAGTGCAACCCACCCTTATCCTTGTTCTCCCATACCCCAGGGTCAAGCCCCAAAAGAACCCTGGGTTAAGTGCATCGAGTCAGTTCTGACTCAGGCAACCTTATAAAGGATTTCCAAGTAACTGGTGGGGTCAAACCACTCCGTTTTAGCAGGACAGTGCTTACACTACAGTTTAACACCAGGACTCAGAAAGAAAAAGATAAAAACCACTTAGGACTAAATGTAGGAAGAAAAAAAAAACCACTATTTGGGAATGCAACAACTTTATTGACAGAAAAGTGCAATGAAATTTCTTGAAAGCTTAAAAGGAAGGAGGCATCACTTAGACACCTCCCCTCAAACGGAGGACCAAGTGCAGGGTAGATTCTTTTTGGATGTTGTAGTCAGACAGTGTACGCCCATCTTCCAGCTGTTTCCCAGCAAAGATCAACCTCTGCTGGTCAGGGGGGATACCTTCCTTGTCTTGGATCTTCGCCTTGACGTTCTCAATGGTGTCACTGGGCTCTACTTCAAGGGTGATGGTCTTACCAGTCAAGGTCTTCACGAAGATCTGCATCCCCCCTCTCAGACGAAGGACCAGGTGCAGGGTGGATTCTTTCTGGATGTTGTAGTCAGACAG